TAGTGGTTGAAATTCAGCTTTTTTTGTCTTTCGATTCTATTCGTTAGTAAGTGATCCATTATGATTTATTTTTTTCTCAGACTGTCTTATTCAATGATACTAAAAACCTTGCCTTGACTTTATCTTCATTGGTTTAAAAAACTATTTAGTATAAGTTGGAATTTATCGTCAATTATGACGGAAGTGACTATTATATTTTATACAAAATAACTTTGAAAACCTCTTTACCAAACTATCTAGTGTAAAATAAAAAACTAAATATAGGTTTCATTCTCTCCAGCGGAAATCTACTCTAGCATTGAGCGCTAGAATAATTTTTTATTTTAAATTTCGGTGAGTTTTTAGTATTCCGTAAACAACTGAATTCATTATAATAAACATTACAAATGGAGCGGGTATGTTGTATTGAGGACAGTTTAAAAGACATCTAACAAATATATGTTAACTTATTTATAATATAATTTAAGTAATGTAATATAAATAAATTTAAACATTTCGTGTAATTTGCCTTTAAATGTGATTTGGCATCATATTTCTGTTTATTTATAGCATCACTAGCCTACCTGGTGCCCCGTTAGTATATTTTGAAACGGGATCATTCTAATTGAACAACAAAATGCTACACAATTAATGACTCAATTAAAAAAATACCTTAATCAACATAATGTAAATGTGCTTTAATAAATCCGATACTATTTTGATAATTGACCCTGAGGCCTGTATTAATTTATTTCCGTCGATCAAGTTATGAGAAGCATCTATAATAAATAAATATTTAATAAAAGAACTTATATAGACATTTTTCGAAAAGTAGTAATCGACCACAACAAACAATTATTTTAATTATTTTTACATTTTAATTAATTGAATTTTTGGCTGACCATATAGCCAAATTTAAAGCTCAGAGTCAGCGTTCATTAGCCAACTGACCCAAAGCCAAAACTAATCTAAGAACGTAATACCGGGAAAGTCATGCAAATGTTACTCCACGTTTCGCACTTATTAAATATTCTTTCTTGGTGTTTGTAGGAGCTGTTCATGTTGGGATACTTGCTGGTACTTGCAAGTAAGTTGACTTATTATTAAACTCTTTATTATCGAATTTTCTAGCATATTTTAAACACGGCAATTTCAATATTTTCGTTG